TGTACATATATTACGATTAAGATTGTGTTATTGTGACAGCTACCTACCTCTGTAGGGGTTATCAGATTGGCCTCTTTTTACTCAACAAACACACGAGACAGTTTTAGAAATTTACATGTAATATTACCTCGTGTAAAGTACATGCATATGGATGGCGTTGGTTAATTTTCAGTGTGACAAGATTTTGGAATACTCTACCTCACGAGTTTAACGACGGCTCCTTCCTCTTGATAAAAAAATCAGGAAAACAAATGGAACAACTGAGTTACCTAGTTTTTTATCCTTCGAACTTCCATGTATATATGCATTTCTTCTAATGTTCGCACGTCAATTTTTATTTTATTCTGTCTTGTTTTGCATTTTTTCACCAGAGCCACATGTAGATTTTCTGTTAAGTGCCACTCTCAATTAAGAAGGATTGTTAATAAATTAAGAAAGATGGAAGTTTTTGAGCCCGGTAAATAAATAGGGAAAGATGTTTATTGTCTTGTCACGAGCGTGGGAAGAAGAAACAATGCTGAGTCTCCATGAGGAATCGAAACCTCAGTCCTTCGGATTCCGCGCTCCGATGCTCTACCACCGAGCCACAGAGACTCTATGGCGAGCAAGGCCCATTATAAAGTTCATAAATAACACGCATACTGCTAAGATCGGTAATGTCGATAGCGTCACGTTTTGTAAGAAAGATTTTCACCGGATAAATTCTCATTTCTTTTCTCAAGAACAGCCTTGGACATTCCAAGAGTGAAGCAAGTGACATTTTTGTCGTGTATCTTGTATTGAACAATTTTTGAGCTGTGGTTAGTGTTCCTCTGGTCTCTTCTTGTTATGGTCAACTGAAAAAAGGAAAACAAAAAAATTCAGTTTTCCATACCTGTTGTGATCTACCTACAATTTAAGAAGGAGAATTTACCCTTTGACTCCCAAATATGGTCATTAATTCTCCCCTGTTGCTGTTACACATTTCCTTGTAAATAAGTTGCGAGAATTTGGTGTGAATCAAGATAACAACTTCTACCTGATAAGTTCGAGTATTCTCATTACCTGTTTGCTGGATAATGTATGAATATTGTAGGAAGAAGATACATGTTGATCACTTCTGGGAGTCAAAGGGTTAAATGCACAAGCCAGACCTATTTATATTCCTCTGGGGAAACACAGTGGATTGTCTTCTTTAGAGAAAAAAAAAGGAGACTTCATAACTGGCCCATCCGACACCTGTGATTACATTAGCTACCAAATAGATTCCATGTTAGCCTGGGTCTGCTTAGTAACAGAGATCTCAGTTGACGTCAAAAAAGTGGTATTAGATGAGCTGAGCTGTGTGTTACTAATGTTTTACCATGTTTTGACATCTTATCCACTCTACTGCGGTGCAGACCACACGGTACTTGCAATCTATTTGTCTCATATGATAATGAAAAAGTGCTGTAATCAGAAACATTATCCCAGCATCTGTCCTTCAGTAGAACATTGGTAAAAACCAATAAAAATATGTTTATAAACCAGGTTATCATAAAATTTTTTTATAGTTTCCTTTCCTACTTCAGTATTGTCAATACTGTAGTTACTACCCTGGGGAGAATTTCAGATAAAATTCTTTGATCCTGATAAGAATACTCAACCCTAATAGTGTATGTGCAAATTTCTCAATGTAGTAGAAGAAACATGTTCTAATTCACATCCTTTGTCCTGGTCTGGGCTTAGTGTAGTTATACTTACAGTAAGGATGATTCTTCTGATGTGTGTCAAATAACTTTGAGGGTATTCCTTGGGTTTTATCTACCCACTACTAACCTGTGCGTGTACATCTTTACAATAACCACTGGTAAGCCCTTGGACTTGAAACTCCGTATTGGCAAGGTAATACAGCTGTTTCCATAGCAGCTGGGATTCCTCATCATCAGCATCATTGTCACTATCTACATGTGTCACCAGGCAAGCATCTGACTGAAAGTGAAATAGCAATCAAATTTTTACCATAACATTGACTGTGATGCAAGTCTTGACATGAAGACTCCAGTAAATCAGCACTGAGTTTACTGCTAATTCCACTCAATAGGCCATTTTACAGTTGTGTACTTAGTCGCCAAGCCTTTGATTCAGAGTGAGGGTGAAGGTGACCTTGTTGTGATAGAGACCTGTATCTACTTAGCATGATAACAAAGTGATTTACATTTGAAAGGCAGCAAGGTTTGTATCATAACAAGGTCAACCCTAGCCTCACTCCCATTCAAAGGCTTGGTAACCAAGCACACAACTGTAAA